TTGTCATAATTGTTATTTTTAAAGTTTTTTGAATTTTATTGACAAAGATATTTTAAAATAAGTATTGATAACATGTTTAAATAAAAATTTAGTGAAGATGTACTCTAGATAAGCGACAATTGTCATAATCGTTATTTTTAAAGTTTTTTGATTTTTTTTGACGAAAATAGTTAACTTGCATCGATATTGATTTTAAAATAGAAAAAAAAGTTTACCCAAATTTTAAACAAGATTGTCTGATGAAAATTGGTAAAAAAAATAATAATTTCTAAATTAGGATTAGATATTATGATATAAATTTTGCATATTAATTTCTGACCCGATGAACAAATGTAATAAAATGCCAATTTGCTCCTGTTTTTGGGGAAGAATCTATTATTACCATATGTGTTTCTATGGCATATACTCAGGCAATTTTAAATTTACAATCTATATTTTTACCCATTTACATCAAAGAAATTTTAAAAATAACGATTATGACAATTGTCACTTTTCTATAGTACATCTTCACTAAATTTTTATTTACACATGTTATTATTTCGTCAACAAAAATCAAAAAATTTAAAAAATAATGATTATGAAAATTGTCGCTTATCTAGAGTACATCTTCACTAAATTTATATTTACACATGTTATTAATTTAATACTTATTTTAACATATTTTCGTCAAAAAAATTCAAAAAACTTTAAAAATAACGATTATGACAATTGTCACTTTTCATTGTCTTCAATTTATATTTACACATGTTATTAATACTTATTTTAACATATTTTCGTCAAAAAACTTTAAAAATACCCATTATGACAATGTCAATTTTCTATGGTACATCTTCACTAAATTTTATTTAAACATGTTATCAATACTTATTTTAACATATTTTCTTCAAAAAAATTCAAAAAACTTATAAAATAACGATTATGACAATTGTCACTTTTCTATGGTACATCTTCACTAAATTTATATTTACACATGTTATTAATACTTTTTTTAACAAATTTTCTTCAAAAAAATTCCAAAAACTTATAAAATAACGATTATGATAATTGTCACTTTTCTATGGTACATCTTCACTAAATTTTTATTTAAACATGTTTTTACTACTTATTTTAACCTATTTTCTTCAAAAAATTCAAAAAACGTATAAAATAACGATTATGACAATTGTCACTTTTCTATGGTACATCTTCACTAAATTTTTATTTAAACATGTTTTTAATACTTATTTTAACATATTTTCTTCAAAAAAATTCAAAAAACGTATAAAATAACGATTATGATAATTGTCACTTTTCTATGGTACATCTTCACTAAATTTATATTTACACATGTTATTAATACTTATTTTAACAAATTTTCTTCAAAAAAATTCCAAAAACTTATAAAATAACGATTATGATAATTGTCACTTTTCTATGGTACATCTTCACTAAATTTTTATTTAAACATGTTTTTACTACTTATTTAACCTATTTTCTTCAAAAAAATTCAAAAAACGTATAAAATAACGATTATGACAATTGTCACTTTTCTATGGTACATCTTCACTAAATTTTTATTTAAACATGTTTTTAATACTTATTTTAACATATTTTCTTCAAAAAAATTCAAAAAACGTATAAAATAACGATTATGACAATTGTCACTTTTCTATGGTACATCTTCACTAAATTTTTATTTAAACATGTTATTAATACTTATTTTAACATATTGTCGTCAAAAAAAATCAAAAAACTTTAAAAATAGCGATTATGACAATTGTCACTTTTCTTTGGTACATCTTCACTAAATTTATATTTACACATGTTATTAATACTTTTTTTAACCTATTTTTTTCAAAAAAATTCAAAAAACTTATAAAATAACGATTATGACAATTGTCACATTAAAATATTATCCTTAAAAAGATCATATAAAATCATCAAAAAAGTTTCATAAAATCCACCTCATTTAATAAAAAATAGATAATTTTAAATGATAAAAAAATTATAAAAGATTTCACCTAAAAGATTGTTTATTTATCTAATAAAATTTACAATATAATTCCTCAATAAAAGATGTATTTATAAAGAAGATTGTAAAAATCACTAATAAATTATATTAAAAAGAATATTACATTTTTACAATATAGCAGCATATTATTTTTTTTATTAAAATAACATCAAATAAATAAATTTATTTTCATTTCAAAATATAATAATATAAATAAAAAATATTAAATCATATCATGTTTATTTGTTGATAATAATAAAATATTTACATTAAATATAAATAAAATAAATTTATTTTACTAAAATAAATAAATAATAATTAATAATAAGCATCGATGCAGAATTTTGACTAATTTAATTTTAGCAGATATATATAGGCTTAGCCAATTTTTAGGCTTAACCTAATTAGGCTTAGCCGATTTTTAGTTTTAGCCGATTTTTAGGCTTACCTAATTAGGCTTAGCCGATTATTAGGCTTAGCCGATTTTTAAGCTTAGCCTAATTAGGCTTAGCCGATTTTTAGGCTTAGCCTAATTAGGCTTAGCCGATTTTTAGGCTTAGCCTAATTAGGCTTAGCCGATTTTTAGGCTTAGCCTAATTAGGCTTAGCCGATTTTTAGGCTTAGCCTAATTAGGCTTAGCCGATTTTTAGGCTTAGCCTTATTAGGCTTAGGCGTAGTTTTTAGCCGATTACGCAACACTAAGTATAGGGTATCAATCGATAGCTAATCATAAGATCTATTCAACTGGAGGTCAATCTCTGACCCATAATGGGCGGTCTAGGGGGGTAGGATGATGGGGGGCGGAGGGGGGGGGGGGTAAAAAATAATTTTTTTTGATATGTGTATCAATCGATAGCCAATCAAAAGATCTATTCAACAGGGTTCAATCTCTGCCCCATAATGGGCGGTCTAGGGTGTGGGGGTGGGGTGTAAAAAATATTTTTTTTGATATGGGTATCAATCGATAGCTAATCAAAAGATTTATTCAATGAAGGTCAATTTCTGCCCCATAATGGGCGGTCTAGGGGATGAGGGGGGGGGGGTAAAAAATATTTTTTTTGATATGGGTATCAATCGATAGCTAATCTAAAGATCTATTCAACTGGAGGTCAATGTCTGCCCCATAATAGACTGTCTAGGGGGTGGGGGTGGGGGTGGGGGTGTAAAAATTAATTTTTTTTGAAATGGGTATCAAATAAAAACTAATTTTAATATGGTTTGACTGAAAGTCTTCATTCTTGGTCTTGATGGGTATGACCTGGTCTGGGGGAGGGGGTCAACAAATTAACAAAATGTCTAGTTGGATAGAATTTACAGAAATAAAAGAGAATGAAGATAAAACAATTTTTTAAATTTTTTTTCGGTTCCAATCCTGAACTTGAAATATATAATTTGCAGTGTTCTATATTAGCACGATATTCCATAGCTATTTTTTTTAGTATCGATATCTTTAGCGTGCACCATTTTTTTAAAAAGAGAGATAACGGTAGCTCGTTACTAAATAAATAGCAAAAATTATTATAACAATTTTATAATTAATTCTAAAATCATAATCTTATAATTTTATTTTATTTTAAAATTTAAATTTACATTTAAAAATATAATATGTTTTTCAAAAAAATAAAAATTTTTAAATGTCGACAGTATAGAATGATAATGAAAATAATTGGTACAGATCATATCGACAAAGGAATATCTCTTGAAAATGATGATGATATGAAATTTCCTTTTCCTTAATTCACAAATTATTTTAATCTCGATAAAAAAATTAACACAATATATAAATTTTGCTGTAAGATGTGGCCGAGGTTTTATCAGCAAACAAAACTAGTTGCTTCAACTTGAGAAAACATTTAAAGGTAATATATCAACCAAAAATTAATATCAATGTATAGCTCAATTCTTAATCTTTAAAAAAAATTAGATCATCTATAATAGTTTTTGAGTTAGATGAGTTTAGGTGAAAGTTGATTTTCTGGCCTAGTCTAAACATACTATATTTCAACTAGCCATAAGATAGTGAATTTTTATGGGTATCTAATAAATAGTAATTAAAAAATCTTTTGATTATATTAATTTTATCAGGCTAAGCGGGCATCCTAAGATATAATGAATATTATTATTCACACAGAACATAAACATGGGTATTAAATAAAAGTTAAATACATTTAGACTTCTTTATTAAATACAATTATAAGCAGGGGTTAAATATAGTCATTGCTATTTATAAACTCATTGTAGCCTAATGATAAAATTGTTTGCTAGAAACTTAATCTAATTTGTAATATTTTTAAATCTCAAAATTTCGGCTTCGGCCTCAATATTTTTGGGGCATAGATTAGATCTATCATTTTTATTTATTGGGATAAGTACGTGATCCCCACCAATGCAAAATTTTATCTTTTTAATTTTATTCTTATAAGCATTCTCTTGCTTCTTCCTAGCTATTAAATATGAAATGAACGAAGGTAGTCTGGTTAAAATATTTTCGATGCTGTTGCCAATCGAGTTTGTAGTATAATTATCTTTTCATAATATTATATTTCCAATTTTATATTTTGTTCCCTCCGAAAGAATATATTCAATATTGTAAAAGGATTCATAAGAATTTGCCCTCCTTATCTTGTAAGCAATCAGAACACCCTCAGGTTTATCAGTACTGTTATTGTTATAAAGTAGTTATAACGTATTGCAAGTCTCATTAGAAACTATGGTGAAATCTTGTTTAAAATAAAAAATATATAAAAATGAAGAGTTAAATTTGTAGAGTTAGTAAAATATTTCTTGATTTTATTACTTTCATCAGAAAAGGAATGATTTCTCAATCCATTGCCATTATATGATGAGCTTGGTATAGAATTTTGAATTAATTTTAAGTTTAAAATATTTATTATCATTCAATTTTTACTCATTTAATCAGGATTAGACTCGATCAATAAGAAGTTGAACTAGATGTAACATTATGAATTAAACTATTAAAAAATTTAGGAGTTACAATTATATTTTTATTCTAGCATATTTTATTATTACTGATTTCACCAGGATCACATTCTATCAATGAATTTTCGTTTGATGTTAGTCTTGGAAGAGTATGAACCAAACCTTTATAGAATTAGGGGGTAAATATATTTAAAAATAAAATAATCATTTTTTATTTAAAGACTGGTGGCGATGCAGAAGTTTAAATTTTGTGAAAATATTAATATTATTTTTTATAAATTTCGATAATTTTGAATTAAACCATTAAAAAATTTAGGAGTTACAATTATATTTTTACATATTTTATTATTACTGATTTCATCAGGATCAAATTCTATCAATGAATTTTCGTTTGATGTTAGTCTTGGAAGAGTATGAACCAAACCTTTATAGAATTAGGGGGTAAATATATTTAAAAATAAAATAATCATTTTTTATTTAAAGACTGGTGGCGATGCGGAGGTTTAAATTTTCCGAAAATTATTAATTATTTTATAAATTTCGATAATTTTGAATTAAACCTTTAAAAAATTTAGGAGTTACAATTAAATATTTAGTTCTATTATTACCGATTTCATCAGGATCATATTCTATCAATAAGTTTTCCCTTGATGTTAACCTCGGAAGAGTATAAACCAAACCTTTATAAATATAAAATAATCATTTTTTTATTTGGAGTAGTGGCGATGCGGAGGTTTAAATTTTCTGAAAATTAAGGGGTCCATTAAGAATTTTAATTTTTTTTTAAAAATTTCGATAGATTATTAAACTGAGCCCTCTTAAATAATATGAATTTTTACTCATTTATTCATGATCAGAAGCCACATTAACTATTTCTTGTGTCAGTTCCGGTGTTCTAGCGAAAATAATATTAAATGGGGTGTTTTTAGTTGTTCTAGAATATCCTAGATTGATATTAAATACAATTTTAGGGAGCGCAGTCACCCAATCATGTTTTTTTGTGTCCAGCATGTATCCGCTTATTCTTGACACTAAAGTTCCATTTGCTCGCTCAATTAAACCATTGGTTTCTAGGTGGCATGGTCGCGAATGTGCAAATATTACCTTTGGAAATTCATCCTTTAACATAGATTCAACTATTTTATCTACAAGTTTTTTTAAGACAAATCAATAATTATATTTACTTTTAAATTCTCGTCCATTATCACTTTGTAAAATTTTTGGAGGACCAAAAGTAAAAAACAATTTCCGTATAACTTTTACTGTTTGTTCCCCTTGTTTTGATATAAGAGGCTTTGCGTATGTATTAAAAAAATGGCCTTTAAAGTGAATTATGTATTTAAATTCTCCATCAGGAGTGCTACTAAAATCAATAAGATCCATTACAACTCGACCCCATACTGCCGTTGACTTTAAAGCTTTACCAGTTGGAGTCTTCGGCAACGTCGTCTTCAATGAGCATACCTCGCAATTTTTTATATAATCTTTGAGCTTATTCACTGGAACAGTTGCATATATTGTTTCAATCGATTTGATAGTTGTGTTCACTCCTAAATATTTGGGGAAAAAGATTACTAGTTTTTCTTAAAAATAATAGGCCCGTATAATATATTTTTTTGAAAAAAAGCTTAAACTAATATTTTATATTTTACATGCCAATAAGAACACATAGTGTTTGATGACATTGTAATTTTTCTTATTTATTTTCTTGTGTTTTTCGATTTGTTTCTTTCGTTTTTTTTGTTTAAACGAAGCTATTATAGCAGTCCAAACATCCTGCTCTTTACCAATAAATCGAACCAGGATACACTTTAGGTGTCCAATACGAAGCAACCAATTTTTTCCCTTAAATTCCTAACCACAACATAATTGACAAAATCCCAATCAAATTAGAAATATAAAATAGATTTACTTAAAATTTATTTATTTTTTTGTATATTATTAGAAAATGATAAATTATTTTATAATAATCTTAAAAAAAATATTGTAAAATAAAATGAAAATTGCAAAATTATCTAACATTAAAATAATATCCATGATTTATGGTCCTCCCGCACTTTCTGGCTGGGTAGGGCCTAATATTTTTAAAAAAATTCTGCCGGGTCGGGCTGTTATTATTCAATTTTATGAAATAAATTAATATATTTTAAAACTTGCAAGAAATAGGACGTAATATTTTTATTTGTAAATTTATTTTTTACAATTAAAAAATTATTAATTTTTTCTATATTTAAATAAATTCGGACCGAGCCGGGCGGACAAATAATTTTTACATGGGGTTGCGTTTTTCTGGACAAATATATGAAAAAATTGGGGATAGGGCAGAGCCTAACAAATTTTTTTAAAAAATGGATCATGCTTAAAATATTAATCCCGAAGCAGATCACTAATTGATATCATTTATTAAATTTAAATTCGATGAAAAACCCATATGGAAAAATAAATTTCAGACAAACCGAAATAAAATAATCACAATTTGACGGGTTGGGTCGGGTTTAACTAACACCAAATAAACTACAATATGAAAATAAAATAATATTCGAATATTTTTCAACTATGCTAATAATATACTAGTGAATATTTATTTAATCAATCAAATTATTCGAATATAAATAAAAAGTAATTCAATAAACATTTACCTGTATGATTCTTATCATTGTGATGTGTCTTAAATATTTCACCCAATTCGGACAATATAATAATTGGCTTGCTTTTCTTCGAACCCATTATAGTATTATTTTTTAAATAAAAAAGTCCTTTAATTTTAGATTTTAGTTTGGCATCTATTCCATCAATATTTGTATAATTTTTCGTCATGAGAATTTGTTTAAAAATATTATATTCAGTAAGATTTTTAGGTACTAATTGGGGCATTATTAAAAATATTAATATTTTGAATTATAAATATATAAAAAAAGAAATTTGAAATTTAGTATTAACTAGAAAAAAAATTCTATATCTTAAATTTTCTATTTCCTTTTATAAATATTTTTTTTCTTCTCCTTCTATTATAGGAAAAAGGTCAACAAAATATTTTTTTTCCAAAAAAAATTGAAAGAAATTTTTGCTTGTAGTATTCATTAATCATTTCCAAAATAAATCTTACTATATAATGAACATTATATTAAATGAAATAAAATGAAAATAAATTATGACATTAACATTATTGAAAATTGAAAATGAAATATTTTAAAATTGAGAGAGGGAGATAAGAAAAAAGGAAGCATTTTATAAAGTTGTTAAAAGCTACTTTTAAAAATAGCGTGCTTTACCGCTATTTTACAAAAATAAAAAGGCTCGTTATCGCTATATTTTCAAAAATGTAGCGCACTATCTTATGGCCAGTAAATATAGCATGTTTAAACTAGGCCATAAAATCACATAAACTCATCTAACTCATAAACATTATTGATGCTCTAATTTTTAAAGATATATTTTTGTTTGATATATTACCTTTAAATGTTTTCTCAAGTTGAAGCAACTTTTGATGATAAAACCTCGGCCACATCTTACAGCAAAATTTATGTCCTTTGTTAATTTTTTTTATCGAGATTAAAATAATTTGTGAATTAAGGAAAAGGAAATTCCATATCATCATCATTTTCAAGGGATATTCCTTTGTCGATATGATCGGTACTAAAATTATTTTCATTATCATTCTCTACTGTCGACATCTAAGAATTTTTATTTTTTTGAAAAATATATTTACAATGCATATTTTTAAATGTAAATGTAAATTTTAATTTTAAAATAAAATAAATTAGAATTAATAATTTTTGCTATTTATTTAGTAACGAGCTACCGTTATCTCTCTTTTTAAAAAAATGTTGCACGCTAAAGATATCGATACTAAATAAATAGCTATGGAATATCGTGCTAATATAGAACACTGCAAATTATATATTTCAAGTTCAGGATTGGAACCAAAAAAAGATTTAAAAAATTGTTTTATCTTCATTATCTTTTATTTCTGTAAATTCTATCCAACTAGACATTTTGTTTATATGTTGAGGGCCTGGCAGTCATACCCATCAAGACAAAAAATAAATACTTATCTAAAGATATTTAAATGAGATTTTATTTGATACCCATATCTATATTTTATGTTGATAAAAATATTCGTCACTCTCCAAGACCTAGACCCGCCCTCTATGATTATTATTATTACAATAAAAAAAATATTTTAATTACCTTTTATTTAATACCCATATCAAAAAAATTATTTTTTACACCCCCCACCACCCCCCAGACCAAGTCATACCCATAAAGACCAAGAATAAAGACTTTCAGTCAAACCATATTAAAATTAACTTTTATTTAATACCCATATCAAAAAAAATATTTTTAAGACCCCCCCCGCACACCCACCCCCTAAACCGCCCATTATGGGGCAGAAATTGACCTCCAGTTGAATAGATCTTTTGATTAGCTATCGATTGATACCCATATGAAAAAAATTTATTTTTTACATACCCCCACCCCCACCACCCTTGACCGCCCATTATGGGGCAGACATTGACCTCCAGTTGAATAGATCTTTTGATTAGCTATCGATTGATACCCATATCAAAAAAAATATTTTTTACACCCCCCCCCCATCCACACACCCCCCAGACTGCCCATTATGGGGCAGAAATTGACCTTCAGTTGAATAGATCTTTTGTTTAGCTATCGATTGATACCCATATCAAAAAAATTATTTTTTACACCCCCCCCCCCACCCCTATCCCCTTAGACCACCCATTATGGGGCAGAGATTGACCTCCAGTTGAATAGATCTTTTGATTAGCTATCGATTGATACCCTATACTAGACATATCAAAAACAAAATTGAAATTGAAAAAACGCAACGAAACTCGTGGAAAACGCTTTTAAAATAAGATTCCTCTTTATCCTCGTATTATCATTCCTTAATTTAAAACCCTAATTTTTTTAGTTATCCCTTTAAATCCCGTGAAGATCCCGGATAGTCATGATCCCTTTAAAAATTACGATATATATATAATCACCGTAATCAAGAAATGAACGTTTTCGTATATCCTTAATGTTAATTTTTATTTTTCTTATCAACTTACCTATCTTCTTAATGTTAATTTTTATTTTTCCTATCAACTTTCTTATCTTCTTAATGTTAAATAAATCGATGGAGACTATATCTCTCTAATGTTAAATTTTAAGAAAATTATTTGATAACGGGATTCGAACCCATGACTTAACGTTTTAAAGGCAAACGTTCTTCCCACTCAGCTACCTTCTATTTTAAATTTTGTATTATAATCTTTCTTATATATGTTATTGTTATGAAATTTTATTTTTATTGGCTTAAGCTCTTATTTTATTGGTTTATAGTTATTTATATTATTTAATTTTAAAATCAACCATTTTTTATTTTAATTAAAAAAATCGTGACGAAATGATTACAATAGGACATAATAGTACATCTGTCAAAGGCCCCAAAATATAGGAGATAGTAATTAAAAAGATGTTTAATTTTTATAGATATTATTACAGAATAAATCACAACCAGGTTGGCACAAGATTTAAATCATGTTTGAGCTTACCTCTGGTTATCAGAAGATAATTTTATAGTCTCAACTGACCCATACTCAATCTGCATTTCACATGTTAATATTAATAACGAAATGATTACAACAGGACATAATAGTATATCTGCCAAAGGCCCCATCATATAAGAGACAGTAATTAAACAGATGTTTAATTATTTTCTTTATTAACTAAGCAAACTATTTATTTATTTGAGACAACAGGACATAATAGTACATCTGCCAAAGGCCCCAAAATATAGGATACAGTAATTAAAAAGATGTTTAATTTTTATAGATATTATTACGGAATAAATCACCACCAGGTTGGCACAAGATTTATATCATGTTTACCTCTGGTTATCAGAAAATAATTTTTAAGTCTCAACTGACCCATACTCAATCTGCATTTCACATGTTGATATTAATAACAAAATGATTACAACAGGACATAATAGTATATCTACCAAAGGCCCCTATAAGAGACAGTAATTAAACAAATGTTTAATTATTTTCTTTATTAACTAAGCAAACTTTATTTGTTTATTTGAGATTCTTAGGATACAGAATATTTAAAAATGTAGGTAGATATTGATAAATTGGTATTGCATGTCATTTCCAGAGTTCAAATATTGTTTGAGATAAAATTTTTATACTGGCATATTTTGGGTTGGTAATATGAGATTAATGTTTATTTTTCAATTGGCTAAATATAATTTAAATTATTTGTTAAATCTAATTTATAATAAGTACTTAGGATTAGTGAGGAAGGTTAATTTTCTGGCATGGGAAGATATTGATAAATAGGTATTTTAAACTATTTGCAAAGTTCCCCTATTGTGGTTGAGATAAAAAAAATTTACTACCATATTTTGCTATGGTGAACGTATATTTTTCATAAAATCTTTACGTAAGGAGTTAATGTTTTACAGTGACATGCTTTTGATCAGGTTATCCAGGCTATTGCCGATACCTCAATTACTACCAGATTTTTCTATATAGATCCTCCTGGTGGATCAGGTAAGACGACATATCTTTTTAATACTCTACTACACTATTTTAGAGGACAACAAAAAAATGTCTTACCCTTTGCTACCACAGGAATATCCTCCATACTTCTAACCTGTGTATATTGTCCTGGTTTCAATTGCAACGATTTTAATCTTCCATCTCCTGACCCTATCACTCAATCTAATTTATATGACCCAATAATAAAAGCAGATATCGCAATGATAATGTTAGCCAATCTAAATGTTTTACAACGACATGCGTTTGATCAGGTTATCCAGGCTATTAACAATACCTCAATTACTACCACCTATTTTTATATAGATAATGGAAAAAAGAAATACTTTTAATCTCCTTATTTAATGGAATTTACCTCCAAATTTTAGAAAATTCACTGAATGTTCTCAAAAAAAATTTTCCTGTAATAGTTCATGATTTTTTTATTCCCGTCATTCTTGATGGGTTATCATCAACTAGTAATATTATAATAGCAGCATATCATATTTTTTTATTAAAAATACATCAAATAAATAAATCCATTTTAATAATATAATCATATTTCATTTCATATATAATAATAATAATATAAATCAAATATTAAATCATTTTATTTGTTGATAATAATATATTAAAATTAAATATAAATTATTTTAAAAATAAATAATAATAAATGCTAGGCATATCTTACGGAACACTGACCTGAAGGACGATCCGATGCAGATTTTTCGACTAATTTAGTTTTAACCTATTTTTAGGCTAAGCCTAATTAAGTTTAATCGATTTTTAGGCTAAGCCTAATTAGGCCACTATTCTTAATTAATGAATAATATTTCAAAATTACATTTTTCTCAAGTTTATTTCTTCTCTAAAAAAATTATACAATAAAAATAGAAGGAATTTTATTTATTTAAGAAAAAGGATAATTTATAATAAAAAATAGATAAAATAAATTATCCTTCAAAAATTATTTTTTTTATATTTTAAAGCAAAAGATTTACTTTAGAAAATTATTTTCCAAATAATCATAAACATAATTAGACATTAAGTAATTTAATATTTTGTCAAGTGATATGATGTTATTAAAATTGTTCTTGAATGGTTGGTTAAACTCTTGATTTTACCTTCTGTTAGAACTGGAAGTAGTGACTAAAGGAAAATTTGAATATTCATTTGTAT